GTGTGTGTGTCCCTGTGTGAGGGGGATGCCCCCGTGTGTCTGCAGGGGCTGGGGTGGGAGGTGGAGCTGGAGTCTGGGTGTGTGATGTGAACCCACATACACTCCGCCGGGCAGGTGGGTCCTGCAGGGGTGTGGGGGGCTGTGACTGGCCTGCAGAGTGGGGGCGCACCTCCCCTTCCTTGCCCTGCCTCCAGGGCCATCACCTCGTGGGCCTGGGCCCACCTGGCCAGTGACCCCCACACTCCCCTGCAAGGCCTTTGGCGACAGCTAGAGTCCGGCTCAGATCCAGCCCTGGGACTCCAGGACTCCAGGACGCCCCCACCCCTACCCAGCACCTGGTAAAGAGTGTCTGGAGTCTGGAGTGTCTGGGGTCGAAGGGGCAGAGCAGGCATCGGGACTGGGGGGATTTGGACTCCAGGTGGAGCCCGGGTGGCAGGGAATACAGGAGGGGCTGGGAAAGGTGCCAGGGCCTCCACTGTCTGGGACTTCTGGCTTTGTCCTCTTAGCCAGGGGAGCGCTCTTTTTGCACAAGGGCCAATTTAGAAAAATCTAGAAAACAAGAAGGCTTCAGTCCCCATCGTAGACAACATCCATTCCAGATGGAAGTAGCAGGAAGGGCCCATGGAAATGGTGCGCACGTGGGTGCCATCATCCACTGAGAAGTTCCCACGGCTGGCCCAGCCCTGGGCACGTCACCTGCCTCCGCTCAGAGGCCAGAGCGCACCCTGCGCCTGCCCGGCTGCAAGAGGGGCTGAGAGTTACGGCTGCGTTTATGCTCCACTTCCTGGAAACATGGAGAGGAAGGGTGTGCAGTCAGTAGCTGGCAGCCTCTGCCACCCCACCTGACAGCCGAGGTCCCGGGGACAGTGACGTGTCCAGGTGTCCAGGGTGGGACCCAAGCTTTCAGGCTTGTAAGCACCTGCCTGACCAAGAAAAAGAAGCAGTAAGAGAGCCTGAGCCCCTGCATACTTGCCACCTCGGCCAGCTCAGTGAGCCTCAGTTTCCCTTCTGTGAGGTGGGGATGGGATGGGACAGTACCTGCTTGTAGGGCCTGTGTGACGCTTACAGGAGATGGTACCCAAGGGGCTTAGGGAAGGCCCAGCACATTACAAAGCTCCATGCTCTTCTCAGCCTCAGCTGGGAAGTGGTGTTGGGGGTGGGGGGTCAGGGCACCCACCTCTGAGGCCAGCTGGCTGCTGTGTGGGCTAACTCATGGCCCGCTAGGCTAGCAGCTGTGGAACATGGGCTGGGTTGGGCAGGGGCTTCAGGGAGCTGACCTGTCCCCTGCGGCTTCCTTTGCACATCCCTGCAGGGGCTCTGGATCCAGGCCTCAAAGAAGGAGTCTGGGTGCCCCAGAACAGGCCCTAACTTGGTGGTAGGGGAGGCAGGGGTCTTCCCGGGAGCCTGGGCTGGGGGCATCAGCCCTGGACCGTGCCGCGGGTGCCTGGGAACCCAGCTTGGCAGAGCAGTCTGGGAATGGGCAGGAACTGACCGGCTGCCCAAGTGCTGCCCAACTCGCTGGACTCGGGCGACCTCTGCTGGAAGAGGCTGGAAGCACATGGCTCCCTCCATCAGAGGAGAGCCCCGGGCGGGAGGCAGGGACTCCGCCAGCACCCCCAGCCCAGCCAACGCGGGGTTCGGGATCTGGGGAGCCCACAGCCTCCAGTCTGGGGCGCCAGGTCAGGAAGGATGCCCGGAGCCCCTCACCACGCACCCTTTCCCCTGGGTGGCCGGGCTGCCCGGGCCATTAATTGGCTCTATTCATCCCCCTAATGAGATGGAAATGAGGCTTCCAGACAGAGGGAGCATTGAGTGGGGGAAGAATGGCAGCTTCTTTCCGGGCCTGGAGGGGCAGCCCACCCCCCAGGCCTGCCCACTCCTCCACTGCCCCTTTGCAACCCACCCAGCCTAGACACATGGTGGCCACCCAGCAAAGGGTGGCTTGAGCACTTCTGCGCCCTACTCTGTGGGTCCTTCCTGGGTACCTCCCCCTCTGGCACTGGTGCCTTCGCTGGACAAACATTTATTGAGTATCTGCTGTGAGTGGGAACACACATTAAAAACTAAAATGATAATAAAAATAGCAGCTACCATTTTCTGAATGTCCGTTAGTAGCAGGAGCATGGCCAAGATAGGGGATTAGTCTGCAACTGGGATCAGGGCTCAGTATGTGATAGGGGATCAGGGGTTCTATACTTAGGATCAGAGATCATTGTATGATGAGGATTAAGGCTCAGTACACAACCAGGGTCAGGAAGCAGTGTGTGACCAGGATCAGGGGTCAATATGCACCCAGGGTCAGGGCTCAGGGGGTGACCTGGATCAGGGCTCAATGTGACCAGAGTCAGGGTTATGCTTGGGGGGGGGTCATCCTCTGAGCCAGGGTCCCCCTCCCCACCCTTTCCTGGTGTGCCCCCACCTCTTCTCCCCCCACCCCCAACCACATCCTTACCACCTGGGTCACCAAGGTAACCAGCTCTGAAATAGTGGGTGTTTTGGCAGCTGAGGCCTAACCTGGGTCTATCCCGAAAGGCTGCACTCTGCAGCAGTTGCCATGGGAACCAAGTGGCATCCTCCGATTAGCCTGGCTTGGACACCCTCTCTTTGCCGCCCACTGCCAGTTTCCACGTCACTCAGGCTTCCGCGTGGGGGCTGGGCTGGGGCAGCGGGGGTGGGGGGAGCACAGGCAGGACCTGCCACCCTGCCCTTGTCTCCAGGCCTGCCTCCCCAGGCTCCTCTGCTCCCCCGTCTCAGAACCATGGCATGGGGTGCCTTCCACAGGTGGGAACACAAGACCGAGTGCCTAGGCCCTGGCCAGTCCTGGCAGGCAGCCTTAGCTGGGGAGGCATTTGGAATCTGACCCCCAGTTGAAGTCCTGGTTCCTTTCCTTGTCCTGAGTTAAGGCATGTGACAGCAATGAAGGGCCGGTCACGGGTAGCGTCAGAGCCAGTCACCTGTGCCTGTTCTGTGGGCAGGTGCGGCCCTGACCTGCCTGCTGGAGGCTGCCCTGGCGACCTCCCTCCCCCGGCGCAGGGCCTGGGGACTTAGCTGCTGTGTGCCCTCGGCCCGAGTGCTTTGCCTCTCTGGGACCCATGGGAGTGTGGCCTCTGTGAGGGAAGGGAGAGAAGTTTCCGCAGCAGGAATGGGGGCATGGAGGACTCCCCTTCCCACCCTATCCACCCAGCGGGGGGTCAGCCCTGGCACCCCACCCCACAGTTGGTGACGCTCAGGTCCCTCCAATGCATTCATCCACTTGTCCCTGGCGCCCCCTGCTGGTCCTTTCCTAGCACAGGGGCAGGGAAGGGAAAGGATTCTGGCTACCTTTTGGGACAGGATGGGAAGACCAGATCAGCGCCCAATAGGAACCATCTAGACAATGGGTTTGCTGCCAATCAATGTGGGGCCCCAGGGGTCCACCCTGACCCCCAGCCCTTCGTTGCTGTTTATCTTCCCACTGGTCAGTGCTGGGAAGTCTGCCATTATCCTTGTTTTACAGATGATGAGTGTAAGGCCAGGGAGGTGACACCCTGGACCGTTGTGGGTGGTGGGGCCACCACCAGCACTCCCCACTCTGGGGTCTCCTGCAGTCTGCATTCCCACCCCAGGAGATGGGGGCTCCTCCTCTAAAGCCACAGATAAGACCAAGGCTGCAAGAGGCACCAGAGGCCCTTCTGACTGGCCAGGTGTGACCTGCCCTTGGCTAGCCTGGTTCTTAGCCCCCGGGGTGGTGGGGGAGCTCCCTTGCTCTAGCCTGGAGCAAGCAGCCTGACCCTCAGTGCTCCCCAGCAGGCAGCATGGGGCAGGGGCCGTAGCTCAAGAGTGGGTCCCAGGGGTGGGCCTTGGCAATGCCATTAGCAGTCTCTTCACCATCCCCTAAGCTGTGTGATGTCGGGGGTGCCCTCCCCAGAGACGATGGGTGCCGAATGCCTGGCTCTGAGCCTGGCCAGGAGTAGGCACTCAGGGAGGGCTGCTGGCCCTTTGAAAGTCCGCCCTGGCCTGCTGCTGGGGGAGTGCGTGGGCCCTGGCACCACTGGAGACAAGCGGATGGCAGAGGCCAGAGTGCCATGCAGTGGGAGGGATCCGGGCAGAAGCCCTGGACTCAGCCCTTCCATAGTCCCCATGCAGGCTCCATGCGCTGCCCACAGGTGGGGCGCTTCTGCTCCTTGCCCCCCACTGGCCCCCCAGTGCTCTAGGACCACGGGCACTCCAGGTGGTCCCCAGTGTTCTTGGTAGTATTGCAGCCACCAGGGGGCTCAGGCCCTCAGGGATGAGGTCTGGATTATTGGGGGAACATGAGTCAGTGAAGGCAGAAGGTACTGTCAGGGCCAGCGTGCAGGAAGACCCATGAGAGGCCTGAACGGGGCAGCCGGGGGCACCTGCTGTCCTTTGATCCCAGGCACCCTCAGGTGTAGCCAGCTCTGCTGAGTCCAGGGGAGGTGCAGCGAGGCTGGGCCCTGGGTTTGAGGTCCTGCTTGGCCACCAGGTGTCCTCCTTGGCCACCTCTGATGTCCCTGTGTGGAGTGGGGGCAGTGGCTCACAGGTCACAGCTGGGAAGGGGGATGTGGAGGCCTGGGGATGTGGAAGGTCGGTCCTCTGCTGAGTGGGTGGGGAAGCTGAGGCTCTGAGGAGTAGGGCGGGGGCCAGAAACTGGATTGGGGGGTGGGGGGCTGGCTTCCAGCTGTGGGCACTGAGAGCCTTAACCACAAGGCCCCTCTGCCCTCAGCTCTGTCACCAAGATGCCTGCTACAGGCTGTCATCCATTCATCATCCCTTCCTGTGCCCTGCCCGCCCCCACACTGGGGACCTCCTGGCTCAGGTGGGATTTGAGCCCTCCAGAGAGTTCCCCGGGGAGCTGGGCAGGCACTGGACCCCAGGCCCTCCTCGGCCAGGCCCTCCCCAGCACCGCGGCCCCTCTGACCCGTGCAGTGCCCCACAACTGACCCTGTCTGGGCCACTGCTCCCCAGCCCCGCCCTGACCCCGCCCTCGGGTTTCCCCCTAGGCGGCTGGAAGCTGTGGTCCCTGTGGGGCGAGTGCACGCGGGACTGTGGGGGCGGCCTGCAGACGCGGACGCGCACCTGCCTGCCCGCGCCAGGCGTCCACGGAGGTGGCTGCGAGGGGGTGCTGGAGGAAGGCCGCCTGTGCAACCGCAAGGCCTGTGGCCGTGAGTGTGGGGCAGCAAGGAGTGGGCGGGCCCTAGGGAGGGGCCGGGGTGGGGCGGGGCCTGGCCTGGAGGAGGCGGGGCAGGGCCTGCAGGGGAAGGGCCAGGATGGGAAGAGGGTGGGCAGGACCTGAATTTGGGGCAGGGCCATGGGGTTGAGCCCAGCCTGGGGTGAGGGCGAGGCCCTGTGGAGGTAAGGGCCCGAAGGAAGGAGGAAGGGTGGTGTCTCGGGCTGGGTGGGACTAGATGGGGTGGGCTGCTCATCTGTGGGTTGGAGTTTTTGGGGTGCATGCAGAAGGCTGGTTGTGGGGCCTGCCCCCTCTCCCGGCAACCTAGGGACCCCTGGACAGGTCGGCCACCCCAGCTGGATCCTGCCTCCAGAATGTATTTCTCTAATAAGGCTCTCTAATGACCTCATGCATTTTTTAGCTGCTTCCATAAAGTTAAATCATGTTGTAATGAGACTGTCATTCTTTCGGTTGTTTTTTCCTTGATGAGGTTTCATGGGCAGAAGATCCCATGTCAGGAGCCTGGGGAGGGCCGTGGGGTGTCAGGCCCAAACACAGGAGGGTGGTGGGGTGCTGGTGGGACGGTGAGCAGGAGAGAGCAGCAGCCGCTTAGAGATGCTGTCCTGCAAGTGACCTCCAGCCTGTGGCCCTGGAGGCAGAGGGAGGGGTACTGGGCAGGGGCCACAGGATCCACAGGAAGGGGTCCTGATCACATGTGGGCTGGCGACCGGCCAGGGCCCCGCTCCCTGATTTCCCAGCTGTCCAGTGGGGCCAGGCGGCCTGGGTGCTGGCAGTCCCTGCCTGCCGTGGCCAAGGATAGAGAGGAGCCAGGGCAGAGAGCAACCCGCGCGAGCTCCGGGATGGGTGCTGACTGAGACCGTCCTGCAGCCGCTGGGCGCACCAGCTCCCGGAGCCAGTCCCTGCGGTCTACGGATGCCCGGCGGCGCGAGGAGCTGGGGGACGACCTGCAGCACTTTGGGTTCCCAGCCCCCCAGACTGGTGAGCTGGCGGGAGGGGGATGGGTGGGACCAGGTCTTCGGGAAAATACCACGAGTTAGTAATTGCTGCTGGTCGTATGTAATAACTTTAATAATGTGCCATAATTAGACCAACCCCTTAGGTGCTGGGCTCTTGTCTCCAGGCGGACTGGCTTTAGGGGAAGTGGCCTGTCCTGGGCCAGACCCCAGAGGCCCAGAGAGGGCACAGGCTGACCTTTACGGCTCCCAGCCTTGTGGGGGAAATGGCCAGTCCTTGAGACCAGGCCTGGTTCAGAGGCCGAGAGGCTCCTGCTCCAGCCCCGTTGCCTGCGCCCAGCAGGGCGGCCCTCCTCCTGGGGAGTCCTTCCGAGGTCTGACTGCGGCCCTGTGGGCAAGCGCACGCAGTCCCATGATGCTGTAGTCTGGTCCTCAGGTGACCCGGCAGCCGAGGAGTGGTCCCCGTGGAGTGTGTGCTCCAGCACCTGTGGCGAGGGCTGGCAGACCCGCACGCGCTTCTGCGTGTCCTCCTCCTACAGCACACAGTGCAGCGGGCCCCTGCGCGAGCAGCGGCTGTGCAACAACTCCGCCGTGTGCCCAGGTGGGCAGGGCCACAGGGCAGCAGAGGTTGGGGCAGTGGGGTGGGGGCAGAGGGCAGTCGGGGGCCAGGGGCAGTGGGGGGCTGGAGTCAGCAGATGGGATCCAAGGGCAGCAGGGGTCCGAGACAGCAGGGTGGGGAGTATAGGGCGGTGGGGGGCCAGGGGAAGTGGGGGGCTGAGGGCAGCAGAGGTTGGGGACAGAGGGCAGTGGGGGGCCAGGGGCAGTGGGGGGCTGAGGGCAGCAGAGGTTGGGGGCAGAGGGCAGTGGGGGGCCAGGGGCAGTGGGGGGCTGGAGTCAGCAGGTGGGATCCAAGGGCATCGGGGGTCGGAGATAGCAGGGTTGGGGGGCATAGGGTGGTGGGGGGCCAGGGGAAGTGGGGGGCTGAGGGCAGCAGAGGTTGGGGACAGAGGGCAGTGGGGGGCTAGGGGCAGTGGGGGGCTGGGCACAGAGGTGGGCAGAGGACAACAGTGCCTTCCCGTCCCTCTGCAGTGCATGGTGCCTGGGACGAGTGGTCGCCCTGGAGCCTCTGCTCCAGCACCTGTGGCCGTGGCTTTCGGGACCGCACGCGCACCTGCAGGCCCCCACAGTTTGGAGGCAACCCCTGTGAGGGCCCTGAGAAGCAAACCAAGTTCTGCAACATTGCCCTGTGCCCTGGTAAGTGAGAGGGAGGGCCCTGTGGGGTGGGGAGGGGAAGCAGGGGGAGAGCCAGTCCCAGGAGCCGGGCTTTTCCCACCCCACACCCACCTCAGGCTGCTCAGAGGTTGGAATCTCTGACTATGTCCAGGAAGGAGGTTGAGGTATAACCCTGGGGCATTCCCACCCATGTCCCAAGCTGGGTGTTGTGTGGTGGGTCCCTAGGGTGTATCCTCAACCACATATTAGGCTGCATGGTGGGGGTAGCCCTCCTGGGGTGTTCATACCCCTGTCTCAGGCTGGATGTTGGGGTGGTGGCCCCTTAGGGTGTTCACACCTCTATTCCAGGCTGAATGTTGGGGTGGTGGCCACCTGTGGTGTTCACACCTCTATCCTAGGCTGGATGTTCCGGTGGTGACCCCCTGGGGTGTTCACACCTCTATCCCAGGCTGGATGTTGGGGTGGTGGCCACCTGGGGTGTTCACACCTCTATCCCAGGCTGGATGTTGGGATGGTGGCCCCCTGGGGTGTTCACACCTCTATCCCAGGCTGGATGTTGGAGTGGTGGCCCACCGGGGTATTCACACCGCAGTCCCAGGCCAGTGAGTGGGGCTCTGGGTGTTCACGCTGGCTTCCTGTCCTGTTCCTCCCCCGGGCCGGGCAGTGGATGGAAACTGGAACGAGTGGTCGAGCTGGAGCGCCTGCTCCGCCAGCTGCTCCCAGGGCCGGCAGCAGCGCACGCGCGAGTGCAACGGGCCTTCCTACGGGGGTGCCGAGTGCCAGGGCCACTGGGTGGAGACACGAGACTGCTTCCTGCAACAGTGCCCAGGTCAGGGCCGCGCTGGGCCGGGGATGGGGGCCTAGTGGTCAGAAGCCTCGAGGGTGGGGACAGGCCCCATCGGGGGGTTATCATGGGCCCTGGCATGTGGCCGTGGGGAGTGGAGTGCACAGTGGGGTGTGGGGCCACCGTGGGGGAGCAGGGCGCACATGAGGTATTTGTTTCACCCTGTATCCAGCTGACCTCTGATTTCTCCTCTCCTGGTCTCAATGTCCTTTCTCCCACGCTTCCTGCCTCTGGGTCCCTGCGTCTCCCTGTCCTCATGTCCCATGTCCCTACCTGTGTGGCATGGACTCCTGGGTCTCTCTGTCACCTTCCCTGTGCTGTCTGGGTCTCCATGTCCCTGCATCCCTATGGCTCCGTGTCTGGCCACACCTGCAGTGGATGGCAAGTGGCAAGCCTGGGCATCGTGGGGCAGCTGCAGCGTCACGTGTGGGGGTGGCAGCCAGCGGCGGGAGCGCATCTGCTCTGGGCCCTTCTTCGGGGGAGCAGCCTGTCAGGGCCCCCAGGATGAGTACCGGCAGTGTGGCACCCAGCGGTGTCCCGGTGAGACCCCTCTCACACCACAGCTGGGCTCTGGGTGGGGGGCTGGGAGTGATTGGGTGGGCCCAGGGCTTGGGCGTGACAGCAGTTGTCCTGGAGGGGTCTTGGCCTTTCCGAGTCTGCTGCCAACACTCAGCTCCCCTTTCCTGAGCCCTGCCACCCTCATTGACTCTGGCCCCTCGGCAGAGCCCCATGAGATCTGTGACGAGGACAACTTTGGGGCCGTGATCTGGAAAGAGACCCCAGCGGGAGAGGTGGCCGCTGTCCGCTGTCCCCGCAATGCCACAGGTGAGAACCAAGAACACCTGGTGTGGGGGTTCCTGTCCTGTCCTCATAGAGATATGTGTGAGACACGCAGGCTCCTCTCCGAGCAGCTGCCAGCCCAGGGGCGGAGCCCCGACAGCCGCATGCGCTGGAGCAGGCAGCACTGGCCAGGAGCTAGGAGCGTGGTGGGGAGACTATGGCAGCCACTGCGTTGGCCACTGCGTCCTGAGGGCCGGCACCCATGCCAGGCCCTTCACATGAGATGTCCACTAAGCCTCAATAACGCCATGAAGTCACCACCATTTATGGGTGGGAAACTGAGGCACAGGGAGATTAATGCCCTTGCCCTGGGCTTGCAGGGCCAGTGAGTGGAGGCTCCCTTTGAAGGCCAGCAGTCTGAATTCCCGCACCAGCCTCAGGAGTGACTGGGGGGCTGGGAGGAGCGGCCGAAGTGGGGTGGGCTCCCTAGGGAAGGGGTTTGGCCCCACCGAGGGTGGGTCTCCCCGCCCCTCCTGTTTGAGGGGATGTGGGTGGTGTACATGCCTGCCAGGCAGCAGGCGGGGCCATTGGGAGCCCAGGTTGAAACCTTGGCTCTGCCCTTTTATGCTGTATGACTTTCAGAAAGTGACTTAACCCCTCTGAACCTCAATTTTCTTCTCTGTAAAGCAAGGCGGTGTAGGTCTCTCTGCACAGGGCTGTGGGGAAGGGCGGGGGTGGTCCCGGGCGGGGGCGGCAGTGCGTGCTGTGTACTGCCGGCCACAGCTGCTGCTCCCCTCCCTTTTTTGCTGACACAACAGTGCATGTTTGCGGTAGCATTTTGCAAACGCTGAGGAGCAAAATGAAGAAAAGGAGCATCACGTGGGGGTGTGCCTGCCCTGGCCTTTTGTCTGCGTATGTGGCCACGTGTCTCAGTGCCCCTTATTTTGGGCCCCACCTAAATCAAGCCATGGGGCACATGCCCCTTCCCTGCCTGGCAGTTCCTGCCGGGTGTCAGGGCCAGGATGCGGCTCTGTGGCTAGCATCATCTTGTGTGCATCCAGCTGTCCCTGCTTCTCTGATGATTCCCTGGGAGCGAGGTCTGTGCCAGAGGGTGTGCCTATGCTTGAGGCTGTTGATGCCTGATGTCACACGGCCCCCCGAGGCTGCCCCAGTGTCTCCGGGCCAGACAGAGGCCCCTGCAGCCCTGTGGATGCAGCTGGGCAAGGGACCCAGGCACTGGCTCTCCAGGACTCTGGGTTGGAAGGGGCTCCACGGGGGCCTCTGGATGAACTCCAAAGCCCTCTGGCTTGGCTGAGGGTTCCACCTCTGCACAGTGGGGTCCCTCAAGGTTTGCTATCTGCTGGGTCCCAGCACCTGGTGCAGGTGTCCTTGAAATGTGTTGAATGAGGGAATGGAGCCAGCCTGGCCCTGCCCCTGCTCTGCCCTTGGTGTGAGCTATGGCCAAACCCCTGCGAATGGAGGCTGGAAGATCCTATCCAAAGCATCTCCTGCCTGGGAGCCCTGGCTGGGGTTCCTCTGCTGGGCAGTGAACGTCCACCTGAGAAGTGGGGGGGTCTCCCCAGGCCTCATTCTGCGACGCTGTGAGCTGGACGAGGAAGGCATCGCCTACTGGGAGACGCCCACCTACATCCGCTGTGTCTCCATCGACTACCGAAATATCCAGATGATGGTGAGGGCCGGCATTGGGGTTTCCAGCCCCGCCCCCGTCACTCCAGGGCCCTCGTCTGCCCTGTCCCTAGAAAGCTCTGTCCCTGTGGCACACCTACCGTTTGGACGTGAGGCTGGGGGCTGCAGAGGGTTCTCTAGGCATGGGAGGTCCTTGGTACCTGCCTGGACATGTCCTGCAAAGGTGACGGCATCCAGCCCTCTCCACCCTCCCCAGACCCGGGAGCACCTGGCCAAGGCTCAGCGAGGGCTGCCGGGGGAGGGGGTCTCAGAGGTCATCCAGACGCTGGTGGAGATCTCCCAGGATGGGACAAGCTACAGCGGGGACCTGCTCTCCACCATTGATGTCCTAAGGAACATGACAGAGATCTTCCGGAGGGCATACTACAGCCCCACCCCTGGGGATGTGCAGGTGGGCTCCCAGGGGGCCACCCTGGAGGAGGGGCATCTGGGAAAGGGGTTGGGGAGCCATCCTGGACCCCAGCCAGAGGCTGAGTCCCAACCCTGGCCATAGCCTGGGCCCCGACCGTGGTCACAGGCTGAACCCTGACCCTGGTCACATGCAGAGCCATGATTCTGGTACCTTTGCTTTTCCCTGGCCCTTCCTCCTCTTCTTTCCAGAACTTTGTCCAGATCATCAGCAACCTGCTGGCAGAGGAGAACCGGGACAAGTGGGAGGAGGCCCAGCTGGTATGACACGTGTTTGGGGCCCTCGTGGTTGGCGGGCTCGGATGACTGCAGGTACATCTAGTGCCTCCCTAAGTCGCAGGCTAGCCCAGGGTCGGGCCCACTGGGCACTCTGGAAGGCTCTGGGTTCAAATCCCAGCATGGCCTCTTGCCGATTGTGTGACTTTGAGCCATGTAAACTTCCGAGCCTCCGTTTTCTCATCTGTCAAAGGACAGCAGCTCATCTCACGGGGCTGAGGAAGGAGAGGGGGAGATCGTGTCCACCACAGCGCACGTCGAGGCCACCAGGACCTAGTGGGTCTTATCTCTGGGAGGAGCTGACCTTGAACCTGCTGCCACTTCTGTCCCCAGGGCAGCACCCGAGGGGCTGTGGTACCCAGAGACCCTCCCCCATCCTGGGCGCCCCACGGGGCCGGAGCAAAGCAGCCCTTTGGGCCTCCGATTTCCTGTCCATAGGACGGGGGTGGGTACTCGGAGGTCACCAGCCCTGCTTCCTCGTGGTGGCAGGAAATAACCAACAGAGCCCAGAGACAGAGGGAGCAGAGAAGGCGGGCAGGCGGAGGGCCAGGGGAGGCGAGCTGTGTCCCAGCTGGGCGAGCAGGCGGCCTCTCGGAGCTGCGATGTGGGGCGTCCTCCGCTCTGCTCACCACACCCTGCTCTCCAGATGGGCCCCAACGCCAAGGAGCTGTTCCGGCTGGTGGAGGACTTCGTGGACGTCATCGGCTTCCGCATGAAGGACTTGAGGGACGCGTACCAGGTGACAGACAATCTGGGTGAGTCCACCCCTCCCTCTGCTGACCCCTGGTGCCTTGCTCTGCAGCCCTGGGCAGGGCCCTTCTGCCTCAGTTTCCTCATTTACGTCAAGAGGCAGCGACCAGACCGCTGTGCAGGCCATTCTGGGGCCAGTTTCTGAGCTGGTTCTGTTTTCAGTTACACAGACCGAGTCTCCTGGGATTGGTGAGGGAACCCCCAGTCTCAGCCCAGACCAGGCCTCGAGTCCCGGCACTCCCCGGAAGCCCACCTACAGCCAGCCCCAGGGCCCCTCCCCCATGCTGAGGTTTGGTGGCAGGGCTGTGCGGCCCCTCCCCTGCTCCCCAGTCCCAGAAGTGCCTTGTCAGAGGGGCCAGGACTCCACCGGGCTCCACGGCTCGGCCAGCTCTTGGGCTCCTCATTTCTGAAATGAGATGATAATGGTGCCCACCTTAAGGGGATGCAGGGGATGCTGAGATGAACAGTGCCTGGGACCTGCAGGTAAATGGCAGCTGTCATCACAAATATGCACAGCAAGCTACTTCACGGTTGTCAACACATTGCCCTCAAATACCTCTCATGGGCCACATTTCCCAAACTTTCCCTGCCTAGGTCGGGGACGCTTTCACAGGGGCAGACCCAGGAGCAGGCACTGGTCACAGCTGTGATCCAAACAGCACCAAGGGAGAAAATTGTCACCTCCCGGGTGGGATACTTAGCCTCTAGTGATGTGACCAAGATCTGCTGAGCTTTGTCAGCACATATACCCTGGGCCTGACCCAGCCCCTACGCTAATGCCCTGGTAGCAGCAGGGACAGAGCTGCCCTGGGCCAGATGGACATTCGCATGGCTCCTAAGAGGGAGGTCCGAGTGCTGGCGCTCCTTTCCACCTTGGGAGCTTGGGATCCCAGAGCTCAGTCAGAGCGGGGGCAGCTCTGAGGCCGGTGGGGCCAGGCCTCCTCTCACAGGCGGGGAAACTCAGGCCCAGGTGCTTTCAAAGTCGCCTAGCCAGTGGGGTCAGCATGGCCCTGGGCTGGCCAGCCTCGGACTTTCCAGCCCAGCGTCAGCATTCCAGGTGCTCTCTGGCCTCCCCTGCCTGGTGTTCTAGGTGAGATGCTTGTGGCCCCACAGGGAGGAGTTCAGGATGGCCCCTGGGGGCCCTGACCTCCTGCCTCAGGGGAGCTGCCCTGAGCCAATGGACATTCAGGGCCAGCCCTTTGTCACCGCAGGAGGCCCTGGGCTCCTGGTCACCCCTCATCCCCCGTCCACCCTGCCCACCTCATGTACCCCACACATCCACACACTCCATGGGCCCTGTGGACCCCACGCACCCCCTTCACCCCAGTACTCCGTATGCCACGTCCCAGTCCGTTTCTGTTGCTGTAACTGAATACTCAAGAAGAGGTCGTTTGTAAAGAACAGAGACTGACTTAGCTCATGGTTCTGGAGACTGGGAAGTCCAAGATCATGGCGTGGCCTTGGGTGAGGGCCTTCCTTCTGTGTCCTCCACAGTGGAGGCCATCCCATGGTGAGATTGAGCAAGTCTGCTGGCTCCAGTCTCTCTTCCTCCTCTTGTAAAGCCACCCGTGCCATCTTGGGGGCCCCTCATGACCTCATCTAATCCCAAGTACCTCCCAAAGGCCCCACCCCCAAATCCATTAACATGTGAATTTGGGGGTCAATTTCCAGGAACTTTTGCAGGACACATTCAAACCATAGCATGCCCCATGCGCTCTGTGCATCCCACAGGCCCCACTCACCCTGTTCTCAGCCCCTCACTCTCCCAGACCCCCGCGGGTCTGCCCAGCCCTGCACCATCAGCTGCTGAGAACTGGAAGCCAGTGGGAGAGCGCGGCCCATGCACACCTGCCCAGCCCGCGCCTGTGCCTGAGCTCCGCCCTCTGCTGCTCTCTCGGTGACCCCATGCCTTGGGTTCCCACCTTTGTCCACTCAAGGACATTGCTCCAGCCATCTCCTCTGCCCCTGCCCCTATGCAGCTCCCTTTTGCACTACCCACTACTGGTTCTCTGCTCCTGCCCCACCTCCCACCAGGTGCCCTCTGCTGCTATGGGGTCGCCAGGGGCATCTAGATTGCAGAACCCTGTGGTCAGCCCTTGGCGCCCCCCCCCTGGACCCTTCGGCAGTATTGGGCACTACTGACACTGCCTCCTTCCCCTTCTCCCCCCTCCCCTCCCTCTGCCCCTCCTCCCACTCCTTCCCCAAGAGCACTCATCCAGGAATGAGCAGCCTCACCTCCTCCAGGTCTCTATCCAGAGGTCACCTCTGCAGGGAGGACTTCCCTACCACCCTATTTGGGAGCGTCCCCTTTCCCCATGGTCACCACTGCCCAGCAGACCAGGGACCATCTCCTTCCCTCTGCCTGGCTTTCTCTCTGTCTGCCTCACTCCATGGTGACTCCAGCAGGGGTTTCTGTTTAGTTTACAGTTCCTGGCGCACAATAGGTGCTCAGTAAGTGTGCTGAGTGAATGGGTGCCTTCACTGGCTCACCCACTGGTGAAGTGCACAGCAGTAAGGCCAACGCGTGCTGGGTGCTGGGCTCCAGAGACCAGGGCCTGTGCCTGCCCCCAGGGGCTCTTGGGGAAGATGCCTTGGTCCCCAGAGGTGACCACACAAGTCCAGGGAGGACAGGGCCAGGTGTGAGTTTGCAGTCACTCTGAGCATCGTGAGGCAAGGGCACGTGGCCCAGCGTGGGAATGGGCTGCGTTTGGTGGGGCAGGACACCCGACGGGGAGGCCCCAGAGCTCCACCAGGGCCAAGCCTGGTTCCTAAGCCCTCCCCTGTCCCCCACATCTGATGTGGACGGCTCAGAGGCCATGGGGTGCTGGGTGAGGGGAGTCACGGATCCTCTCTGTAGGGGCCCCCTGTCTGCCCTGCCCTGTCCTCCCAGGCCTGCCTGCCACTTCACCCACATGCCTGGATGCTGGAGGGAGCTGTGGGGTGGTGGGGAGCTGGAGAGGGAGCGCCACGCCTAGGACAGAGCCTGCCCTGGGCTGTGTTGGTGAGGCAGGAGCTCATGAGGCCTGCATGGCGCTCAGGCCGTGGCCCCCACTGAGTGGGGTTGGGGCCATCTTCCCCTGCTCTGCGAGGTGGGGCTGTCCCCATCCCGTCCTACGGTGAGGGAAGTGTGTGGACAGGCCAGAGCTGGACAGGGCGCTGAGGTGGGCTCTCCAGTCCCTGCGGATCCCTCGATGGCCACAGAGTGGACCCCAGAATCCACCTTTGACCACCTTCTGGGCCACAGGGTGGGGATGCTGGGACAGGACTCCCTTGCAGTGCGGACTCATCAGGATCAGGGCCTCTTGCGGACGGTGCTGAGCAGACCCAGCCCCGCCCACACCTGCTGCCTCTTGCTGTCCCTACTCTGCAGTCTCACTGGGGTCTGGGGACACGGCCCACCCACCTCTGCAGAATCCCCAGGCCTGCTCCCTGGAGTGTGACCCTCTGTCTCTGTCTCCCCCTGCCCCCACCAGTCCTCAGCATCCACAAGCTCCCAGCCAGCGGAGCCACTGACGTCAGCCTCCCCATGAAGGGCTGGCGGGCCACCGGTGACTGGGCCAGGGTGCCGGAGGACAGGGTCACTGTGTCCAAGAGTGTCTTCTCCACGGGGCTGCCAGGTGAGGGGCCCCAGGGAGTGGGAGGGGCCCGCCCAGGAGAGCGAGGGCCCACCACCCTGGGACGTGCCTTCTGGAGTCTAACCTGCTGCCTCACAGATGGGGCAGCATCCGTTTCTTCTCAGTGTCCCCAGGTTGTCCCTCTCTCCAGGAAGCCCTCTTTCCCCTCCCTGGGGGCAGTGCCTACAATCAACCCCACTGCCCAGGTAGTCTGCTGAGGGGACAAAATGGACCACCTTCCTGCAGGGAGGGTCAGGGACTCTCTGGAGTCACATGGCAGGGACTCTAGCTCCTGGGAAGAGAAGCCGTGACCGGCCTGTCTCACAGCTCTCAGGGGTCACTTGAGAAGGGCCCAGCTCTCCCTGTTCCCATCTGGGACCCAGGCAGTCGCCCCAGCTGCCTAGCTGCAGTGCTGTGTCTGGGGGTGGGGGTGGAGATGGGCCTCCCCACCTGGTAGGGCCATGGACGCGACCTTGCAGATGGTGCCAGAGGCTAGGGAGGGCAGGGTCCAGGCCAGGCGGGTGAGCCCCCGCCCCGAGCTGCAGGTCAGGAGGTGACGGGCGCTCTCTCTTCCAGAGGCTGATGACTCGTCGGTGTTTGTGGTGGGCACCGTGCTCTACCGAAACCTGGGCAGCTTCCTGGCCCTGCAGAGGTGGGCAACGTGGGCAGGCAGGGTGGGCAGCACTCCGGCCACAGGGCGCAGGGGAGGCCAGGGGCAGCCTGGAGGAGTGGGGACACTGGGCATGGCACAGAGGGTGGCCAGGGGTGCAGGGGCCCTCGGTGGGCATTCAGAGAAGGGCCGCAGGGCGCACTCTGGGCCAGCTCCCCTGACGCACCTGCTCCTCTGGCTCTGCACCAGGAACACGACTGTCCTGAACTCCAAGGTCATCTCTGTGACTGTGAAGCCACCCCCTCGCTCCCTGCGCACACCCTTGGAGATCGAGTTTGCCCACATGTACAACGTGAGTATCTTCCGTGTGTGCACGCTAACACGTCTGCATGCACACGCATGCACACTATGTTCCTGCGATTGCTGTCACACTTCTCAGGCATTAATGCCTTGGGATCTCAAGGCAGCCCTGCAAGAGAACTGCTTTTATCCCTGAATCGTAGGTGGGGAAGCTGAGGCTCAGAGAGGTGCGGTGACTCGCCCAGGGTCACACAGCAGGTTGGTGTGGCCCTGAATTCACCCACGTCTGACTCCACTGTCTGAGTCTAACCACTCCACTGCCGGGGCCGGTGGCCTGCTTATTTTCACAGGGAAGAGAGGCCCTCCCCTCCCAACACGGAGCCTGCCCTGCACCTCCTGGCCCCTGCACACCTAGCCCAGGACCGCGGCTGTGCAAGTGGGCCTGCCTTCCCTCCCGCCAGGTTCCGGACTCCCCTGGAAGGCCCAGTACCCCTTGGCCCCCGAGGCAGACCCCCGGGCCTAACCGTGCGGGCTCTGGAGGCTCTCAGCACAAGGGCATCCGCCCAGAACTGCCTGGGACAGGCGCCCCGGGCTACAGGCCACCACTGCTGTGTGACCCCAGACAGGCGCGATCTCCTGGGCTGTGTGCCTGGCTGGGTACGAGGAGGAGGCAGCCCTGGCTCTGTGGGGCCTGTGGGCACTGTCACAGCTCACCCAGGGCCTCCTGCAGCCCCTCTGGGCCCTGCTCCTCGGAGCTCCCTGTCAGGCCTCAGAGAACTAGGAGCCGAGATGCTCCTGGATGGGCTGAGAGCCAGGACCCCAAGGGGGCAAGCCACCAGGGTCACCTAATCAAGACAGGGCAGTGCCAGGCCTCGGGCCCCAGACCAGGGCTGCAGGAAGCCCTGGGAAGAACCCTGCTCTGTCCTTTCCAGCTGTGGATGTTGGGGGAGTGTCCCCACCCCTCTGTGCCTGGGCTTCCTCCCTTATCACGTGGGAACAGGTAGGCCTGGGTGAGGACTAAGCGATTCCCGTGAGTGCCCGGAGCGCCACCTCATGTGCAGCCGCAAGGATCTTAGCACAGGGGCACCCTCCCAGAGCTGCCTGGGACAGCCACCCTCGGCGCCAGGCCACTGCTGCAGCACAGGGGGGCGCTCTGAGCATGATCTTGGACGTAGCCCGTAGGACCCCGGACATCAGAGCAGCACGGGGGCTTTGCTGAGGCCCCACCAAGTGCCTGCCTGACCCCGTGTTCACTCTGCCCCAGGAAAGGGCCTTCCCATTACCCCACTTGGCATCAGAGATGGGCTCCGGCCACTGCTGCCCAGCCTGCCATCGTATCTGGGCTCAGAGAGTGGACAGGAGCTGCCAAGGCCACACAGTGGGCAGCGGGAGTGGCGACATGCCCCGTGACCTTGGGTCACTCCCATCTCCACTCTGGGCTCAGTTTTCTCCTCGTTTGGGGCCCACCTAGGCAGAGTACCTGGCACACCTGTAGGTGGGTCCCAGAGGTGACTAGTGGGTGGAGGCTGGTCAGGGTGGGCAGGGGGCCCTGACTTCTCCCCCTCTCTCCCAGGGCACCACCAACCAGACCTGTATCCTGTGGGATGAGACAGATGTGTAAGTTCACCTGGGTTTTGTGGCCTCAGGGCTCTGAGCTGGAGTGCCAGGGGGGCTGGCCAGTGGGAGATGGGTGAGGGTTTTAGATCAGGGGCCGCCATCCCCCCATCTGCGTGTTTGCTTGGTCCTCCCTGCCATCCCTGCGCAGACCTAGCTCTGGAGCCTACGCCCTGCCTCCCACCTCCCTCCCAGGAGTGCACAGTGCAGGGGAGGAGGGGGCATGGAGGTCCACCCTGGGCCAGGTGAGGGGCAGGGACGTCCTGGTCTGCGCTCATGCCAAGGGCAGGTCACATGCTGGTATTCAGGTCTGAGGGTGGGTGCTGGGTGCTCGGGAGCTGGGAAGCATCGCTGCAGCAGATGGGGGCAGCTTGGGGTGGGACTGGAGGGTCAGAGTCATCAGATGGGGCATGGGCTTCTGGGTCCTCAGCCATGTCGCATGGCCGCATGGTCTCTGCTCAGTTCCTAAGCAGCGATTAGGCGCCAGCCGCCTCGGGTGCTACGGCACAACAAGGACAAGGTGGATGCTGGTTCCATGCCCAGGGAGCTTCCTCTCAGAGTGGCCGGGCTGTGGGCCTCGATCGCAGGGCCCTGCATGGGTGTGCCAGAATAGGGGGTGTCTTCCCAGCCCTGCGGCCAGGGGGAGTGAGGAGTGGGCCTCATTGTGTCTGTGCAAAGGCTGAAAGTGCGAGCACCTCCAGAGGTGAGCTGGGTTGGGATTTCGGGAGATGGGGTGGAGAGATGGCATCTGGGTCCTGCCGGCCGCTGGGCCTGGTGGACAAGGCCTTCCGCATGTCGTGGGGCTCTGGCCCGTGTGTCAGGCAGGTTCTGCCCAGGAAGCCGGGAGTTGAGGCCGACACCTGCCCACCTCCCGCTGTTGCATCCCTCAGGCCCAGCCCCCTCGCTGCCCTGGCCCCGCCAGCCCCAGGCCTCCCCACGCCCCTGCCAGGCCAAGGGAGTGAGTGTGGCCAGCCTGGCCACTTGGGCGCTGATGGCACATGCAATGGCCCCTTGTGTGGTGGGCGGTGCAGTGACAGATGTGTGTGTCCTGGGAGGTCAGGGGAGGCTTCCCGAGTGCCTGGTGCCAGAAGAGAACGGCTGCCTGGGTATGGAGGGGAGGCCGAGGCTCGAGGCTCAGGGAAAGGCGCAGAGTGGGTGCAGGGGTGAGGGGGGCTGCAATGTGGTGAGAGGCTGGATGGTGGGGGCTGTTGTGAGGAAGGGGGATGGCCACCCCCAACCACCCCCATCCACCCTCCGTCACCCCCACTGTCCACCTTGCGGCCCACTGTCCTTCCTCTGCTGGTTTTTGCCAGTGGCAATGTCACTGCTTTAGGAGGTCTCAGCCCTTAGCCTCCTTCTCTCCCCAGGGAGGAGGGACAGTGACCAGAAAAACAGTGTGACAGTGTCTGGCCATGCATGTGTAGGAAGTGGAGCCAACAGGGCCTGGTGGTAGGTGGGCTGAGGTGCTTTTCCAAGCAGGGGCCAGGGGGCTTCTGTGAGGTGTGTGTGAGCAGAGGCCTGGCCCATGTGGCACTGTGCGCGTCGTGTCGGGTAGAAGGAACAGCCAGCACGAAGGCCCTGAGTGGGAGTGTGCAGGCCACGTGCCCTCGTGACCTCTCCTGCATCCTCTGTGGACTCCGCTGGCCCTTCCTGCTCTGGGGCTGGGAGAGGCGGGGCGGCCCCGCAGCAGGGGACGGCTCTCTGGCTTTTGCTGCGGCTGATCTTTGCTCTGGGTTGTGCAAGCAGCACCAGCTCTTTGTCCAAAAAGAGAAATCACAAAAAGGGTGGAAAAAGAAAAAGCACCTGGTGGGTGCTCGAAGCGCACAGGCCGGCCCTTGCGGTTTGCATTTTCAGGGCTGGAGGTGGTGCTGCAGCTGCGGGCTGCTCCTGTCTCACCCCTCCCCACCGCCCTGAAACCCTCTCTTGGGCGGTTCACCAGCTGCAGCTTCCAGGGCTGGTCCCCTGGCCCACCCAACCAGCTCCTCCTGGTGGCCCTTGGGAACACTAAGGTAAACAGCTACAGGACCAGCATCTGCGGGTGGCAGCTCTGCCTACACCTCGTTCCCTCCAGATCAAGTCCCCAGACCACGGTCTTAAGTTCTTGGTAGTAAATTGCTCTCAGAAAGGAGTGACCCATCATCCCCTTCCCCTCCTGGGCAGCAAGCTGCCAGGGGCCTGGACGGCCCAACCAGGTCAAGGTCACCGCCCTGGGGACCAGGCTGTGGACAGGAGGACATGAGGCATAGCCATGGGCAGATCCTACCCCCTGGGAGACTTGACTTCCTGTCCCTGTGGCCAGTCTGCCTGCTTTCGGGTAGGGGTCAGGGCAGCAAGAGGACAGTGGCCACATCCTTGGGCATCGGTGTGGCCTCCACCTGCCCCTCGTCCCCTGGTGTAGATGAACTGGAATGTGAAGGTCTTGGTGCCTGGGGGCTCAGGGCATTGAGGACAGGAGAAGGTGCCAGTGTGGTCTGAGCGGTTCTGTGGCCGAGCAGGCCTGGCAGCTCTGAACCCACAGTCCCTATTTGGTCCTTGACACACACAGCCTGGGCTCTGGGCCACACCCGCTGCCTGCAAGGAGCTGAGGCCCTGAGGGCCTGCAGTCTAGCTAAGCACCCAGGGTGCTCACTGAGGCTGTCTGCCCCGGACCAAGCAGCCTGGAGTCCAAAGGGTGGGTGGGTGGGTGATGGCCGACAGGGAGTCAGCCCTTCCTCCTACCCTCCACCTGCCATCCGCTCTGAGTTGGGTGGCTCCTCCCTGCACAGCCCTGAGGAGCCGTGTTTCCCTGTTGACCCTGGGTCTGCAGCCGCCAGTGTGCTGGGGAGCTGTCTGGGCCGGTGCGGGCCTGTGTGTGGGCACTCGGGTGAGGAGTCACGCGTCTGGGAGGGATTCTGCGTGTGGACAGTGCAGTGATGTGTAGGGGGAGGGGAGTGAGGGCCATCAGTGACCATCCACTGAGAAACAGTGACCTTTTAGATCCATAATTGTGGTCTATAAGGGAACCTTGATCCTAGTCACAGATAAGCTTTTACCCTGTTCACACGCTGAGTTCAGGTTGAGCCCTGACCCTGGTCACAGTCTGAGCCCTAATCCTGGTCATTCGCCGAGCCCTAATCCTGGTCATTCGCCGAGCCCTGACCCTGGTCACACACTGAGCCCTGTCCCTGGTCACTCACTGAGCCCTGACCCTGGTCACTCACTGAGCCCTGTCCCTGGTCACTCACTAAGCCCGGACCCTGGTCAGAGGCTGAGCCGTGATCCTGGCTGCACACTAAGCCCTGATCTTGGTTGCACACTGAGTTCTGATCCTGGTCACGGGCTGAGTCCTGCTTCTGCGTCTCAGCTGGAATGACTTGTGCATGTTCACGTGCATTATGTATATGCTATGTGTTTGCAGGGCCACCTCCTCTTCTAGCTGCATGTAACAGTTGACCATGTGACACACTCATCCTGGAAAGAATGCGTCAGAGGCTTCCACCCACAGTGCAGACCCTCTGCCTGCCTCACCCCCAGTTACACACACACACTTGCACATGCAGGCCCAGCAGCCGCACTCCAGGCACCTGCTCGTGCTCTGTAAGCCCTGGGCCCTGAGAGCCCCTGCAGTACGCCTTGCCCCAGCAGCCAGAGGTATGTGACCAAGTCCCACCCTCTCGGGCCCAGACACCCTGGATCATCCAGTCCTGATCCCTGGCCTGGCAGCATGACTCGAGGGCTCCTGCTCCCCCATACTCCTGCACCAGCCTGGCTCGTGGCAGTGGGGTCCTGGGCAGGAGGGAGCTGGGGGAGAAATGGGGAGCAAAGGGGGCCTTGCAGAGTTCCCAAATGTTCAAACCAGGAGAGACCACCCATATGTTAGCACATCCCTGTACAGGTCCTCAGCCCGTGTGTCTCAAGTAGGGGGGCAGTGGCTGCCATGTCAAAGTCACTTCTGTACGCCCAGAATCGAGCGCTGCCCTGTTGAGGATCAATAATGGTTTCTGAGCAGTGTAATGACCGGCGGCCAGATGCAGGAATAGATGGGCGAATGGATCCGTGGTGGGTGCTGTGGGCAGTGGGTGTGTGGATGACCCATGGTAGCTGGCCGTGTGCCAGTGGACTGTTCCAGCCTGGCTGTGTGGCCCCAGGCCTGCCTCACACAGAGGGCCCAGGCCAGGGGCAGCTGTCTTGGAAGGTGCACGGGACCCAGATTCAGGAGTGCGGGTGTGGGTTCCCCAGTGGCAGGGAGATAATGGGCGGATGGTGCCATGGCTGGGTGAGTGACACTCTCCCTCCTTCCAGCCACCCCCACCTTCTCTCCTTCTGTCCACCCCCATCTGTACCCATCCACGCATCCTCCCAGCCACAACCCACCTGCCGTCCTTTCCTCCATCATCTCTCACTGATCAGTTCCCCAGGGCTGCCACAGCAAATTACCAAAATCGCCACAACGGAGTGGTTTAAAACAACAAAAATCCATTCTCTTGTAGTTCTGGAGGCCAGAATTGGGAAATCGAAGTGTTGGTAGGTAGGGCCGTCCTCCTTCAGGAACTCTAGGGAAGAGTCTTTCTGGCCTTGCCAGCTCCTGGTGGCTTTAGGCATTCGTTGGTGTTGCTTGGCTGGGGGCAGCATCCCTCCAATCTCTGTTTCCGTCTCTACATGCCTCCTCCCTTGTGTCTCTGTGTCCTCTCCTCTTCTTGTAAGGACACCGGTCACTCGTTCTATGGCCCACCCTAAATCCAGGGTGATGTCATCTCAGGATCCTTAATTATGTCTGCCAAGACCCTGTTTCCAAATAAGATCACATTCACAGGTCGGGGGATTAAGATTGGACATATATTTTGGGGGGATGCTATTGAGCCCACTGTAGACAGAGAGGTGGGCAATGGATGGGTGTGCGGGTGGATGGATGGGTGTATGAGTGGATGATGGGCAGAGAAAAGGGTGGAGTTGGGTGATGGGTTGATGAAGGCCAGTAGCATATGTTGGCAGTTAAGCTCCGTGGTCCTGAATGGACAGCTCCCTGGTATTTCACACATGGGAAGTTAGAGATGGTTTGCAGTCTTTTTTTTTTGGGGGGG